TAATGCTGCAATTGTTGATAAATGTTTAATGGAAAATCTTTCCAGCAATAAAGTTAAGAAACACTTGTCATTTTTTTGGATCCTACCATTGCATATAAGAATATCCCATGTAAACTCTGGTCTATATCTTATTTTCTTCTGAGGCCTTCCTCTTCCCCTCATAAACTTGAAAACCTTTTTATCCATAATCAAAGTATAGAGCTGAAGCTAACTGAAACCTAAGCTAACTGAATACATAAACAGTAGAAGTGCACACACAGAGCCAAGAGATAAAATGTTTCCCCCCCAGAACTCAAAGCCACTCATCAATATTCCTTTAATGTGAACAACGTAGATGTAAATAAATGTGTTTATTTCTTAGCAAGAGCTTTAGGAAAATGTAGTTTGACTTTATCCACCTCTCAGAGCTCACTGGTCCCTGCCTGACCGCTCCTATAAAACCTTGTGTCTATGCCATGGACATGGACCTCCGCTGGGAATGCTGTCCAAAAGGTTTAGGAATGTTTATGGGGATTTTCCGACCGTTCTTCCAGAATCACATGCGTGAGGTTACACATTGACTTTGGCCGAGAAGGTCTGGCTCTCAGTCTCAGCTCTGATTTATCCCAAAGGTGTTCTATGAGGTCAAGACTCTGTGCCGGCCAGTCAAGTTCATCCACACCAGACACTTAGAATAGAAGAATAGAATTCAACTTTATTGTCATTACACTGGCATAGGTACAAAGCAATGAAATTCACTTTCTGCATTTATCCTTAATGGGTTTGGGGAGCCCAGGGAGTAGTGTAGGGTCTTGTTCAGGGTCTTTTTCAGGGACCCAGAGTGGCAGTCTGTGGGAGTGGAGCTTGAACTCTGGACCCTAACACTATGAACTTCATCATCTGCTGACCCTCTCTTTCAGTTTATGTAGCCTCCCACTTCATGGCCGAGTTGCTGTTGTTCTTTTTTGTTATGACACAGCAGACTGTGGAATATTAAGGAGTGAAAAAATCACAGCAGCTTCGCACAGTGCAGTGTTGGAATCCTTGAGGTCCTGAAAGCGATTCTTTCGCAAATATTTGGAACATCACTCAACATGCCGAGACAGTTGATCGTATACACCTATGGCCATGGAAGTTAATTTAACACCTGATTCCATTAATTTGGGTCAGTGAGCAAATACTTTTGGCAATACAGTGTGGATTTTTAACTGGGCTCAGGGAGAAATGAAATGGACTGTGGCTTATTGGCCCAAAGTTCTCTTTCTGAGATTTTAAGTCCATGGTGAAGTTTCCACAGTCAATGTTAATCAGAGAACCTTTTTAAGTCCAACATGTTTGCTGATGTCCACAGTCAACTCATCCAATGACCAGGAAATTCTAGAGTTCTGCTCGCTTCCCTCTATCAACCAAGTATTCCATGTGTACGATGAACACACTTATCAAACCTCTGAAGTTTTGAGATGAATATCTATAGGTTTTATTTTCTGTTCTGCTTGCATAACCCCTTTATTGCCCCACAGTGGGGAAACTCACACTTGGCATTCAACCCATCCCCTTGGGGAGCAAAGGGCTGCCATTGTGCGGCGCCCAGGGAGCAGTGTGGGGTTAAGGGTTTTCCTCAGGAACCCAGAGTGCAGGCTGTTGGGATCAAACAGGGTACTTGCAATCCTCTCAGAGTACAAGCGCACTGCTCTAACCCACTAGGCCAACACTCTCATTCTCATTATGTAGCTTAACTTACAGTTTGTAACTTGGAAAATATGTTTTCTAGACTTTTTCTTCGACTATCTACATCATATGACATATAGACTTTATTCATAATTTTTTCATTTTTTATTGTATATATTATTGTTTGTTTTTTTTTCCAGGGAAAGGGGTAGAGGGGAACAACACACCTTAAGAATAGAACTATGTACATACAGGGAGTTTGTCACATACGTGTTCATACAATAGGATACATTTTACATTATAATGTCATAGTGATAAAGTAGGGCTGTTAGGCCATTTGGCTGGAGCAAAGAAATACCATTTCAACCATTGCTCTAAGAAGAGTTCCATTTTTAGGCTAACATAGGCTGTTATTTGTTCCATCTTATATATTTCCACCACAATGTCTCCCCACGTACCAAGTGTTGGGCTTTCTGGTTGTAGCCATTTCCTCGTGATAGTTTTTTTGCTGGCCACTAAGAGGATGTTCATTGAATATTTGTCCACTTTCAGCCAGTCTTGAGGAACACATCCCAGATACAAAGTCTTAAAGTCGTAGGGAAGCAGCTGTTCCAACGGTTGCATTTCTGAATTCTCCCGAGCGGTGGATTATTTTATAAGAGTGAATAAAGTGAATGTAATTGGTCGTTTATCAAGGGGGCGTGATAGTTGTGGTGAAAGGTTTGCAAGCTAGTTTGGTTGTGGCCGTTTTTTGGAAGCATCTTGCTAACCAGTTAGCAACTTAGTGCTAGTAGGTTCCCAATGAGAAATTCCATTGGGACCAAGTAGCACTAAATTGGTGACTTAGAAACGACACTGTCAAGGAACGCTATGGACAGAGGAAACATGCAAGAGGAGGAGAGTTTAGTGTC